GATGGATATATCTAGTCACTACCATCTATAGTTTTGTAGGTAGTCATCAACTTTCTTTTCTTTAGATGGCATTTGATAGAGCTAATGTCTAACATGTGAAAGTTCAAAAAGAACTTTTTATATACATGATAATATGATATCTAGAAACAACAAATTTGCTTTTCTACTTTTAAGAGACTCTATAATGTGAAAAAAAAGAAGGTATTTTATTTATTATGATCCATCAGAAACACATATAATCAAAATGTTCCATGAACTGGTCATCTCTTCCCAATCAAACCTATTTTCTTTCAAAGATATAGTTTAGATGTTAATGCAAACAAGACCTGAAGATCAAACCTCTGAAAAGCAAATGTTTTAGATATCAGACTCCATTTGAGCGTTATCAAACCCCATCTTAAAGTTACTTCCATAACCTAATTCAGCTATGCCAAATTTAAAACAAGCATTCTTCATTAATATCATCTTGGTATCCACGGCGTCCTAACACTAAAATCTTTTAATTTTCCATATAAGGCACCTAAGTCATCCTTAAGCTATACTTGGGGTCTGTTTTGTTTGTTTGGTTCACAGGAATAGAGGTCTAGAGTCAGAATTGGAATGGTCTCCCTCCCCCCTGAATGAGAATCCTATCTAGCCAATTCCGGTTCCTGTCTAAACCAAACAAGAAGGGGAACAGATCATTCTGATTCCGATTCCAATGAATTTTGATTCTATCGAATACAACGATCCTTAGTTTGATAGAAAACAAGAGACAAAGGCTATGTTTGGTTTGAAGGAAAAAGTAGGGAAAGGAAAGGAAAAGAAGGGAAACCTTTATAAATCTTGTATAAATTTCCCTGCATTTCCCTACTCTTTCCTTCAAACCAAACATAGCAAAAAAGAAAAATTGAGGGAAAGTTGTTAAAGTGAACTTTGTGCTAAGCCTTATCAAATTAAAAAAACAAAAAATCCTTTTCTTAAATTGGGAAAAAAATTTAATCATTTGATTGACCAGTGATTTTGAGCCATCTTTGTTCAACCGTTTGGCGCAGGAACCATCCAAACAACTGGTTCCATTATTGATCCATTTAACCCAAATAATAATTTTTGATCATTTTTACTTTAATTTTTTTTTTTTTAATTTAGAACGAAGGACCATCCATTCAAACTGAACATTAAAATTGCTGACCAAGAAACCGATGGTCAAAGTGGTTCCAGCTATAGTTCAGTTTTTAAAACATTATCTTCCATTATCATCATGAAAAATAGGTACAAATATTATTCATATCAACCTTTGATTAATTTAGGACCCCTATCTCCGATGCTTTTAATAAAATCATGAGTACCACCTAAAAGCCAATAGATAATACTTCTGATATTTGTTAATGGATAGCCCACTTCTATAAGAGCACATGCAGCAAATCTACATATAAAGCTGACCTCTTTATCTTTTCTTTTGTCCTTTGCCTGTACTAATACATTTTTGAAATAAGTAGTGTTATGGCGGCTCACCATAAAGTGTAGACACATGCACCACACCCCACCCTACAAAAGTGGAAGAGGAAAGATGAAAATGTCTAAAAAAAACATTTTTTCCTTAAATAAATGAAATAAATGTATTTTTTAGTAAAAGGGAAAGCAGAACTCTCAATGGGTCGGATTTGGTTCAAGATAGGGTGGGCCAGTCTCAAATCAATTGTTTAACCGGTTTCTAATATTGAACCAATTATTAATGGTTAATCCGGTCTGACCGATTAGACACAATTATACATATTGACATCTATAATTATTTATAATTACTTATGATAATAACAACTTAGAACTTCATTTTTTATAATATATTATTTGCTAAAATTGATAATAAAATGATAGTAAACTATTTATATGTTGAAGTGTTTTAAACTAAAATCATCTCTATGAAATTTACACTTTTAGACATAAGATATAACAAAAATTATAAGAAAAAATCAGGAGACCTCTATCATTATCAAGTATGGGAAAATCTATTCTGCCAAAAAGACATTATACTAGAAGAACTTTAATTTGACCAATCAAAATTGCCGATGAATTTTGACAAATACCACCTGCCATTTCTAGTTTTCTTCATAATATATATAAATGTTTCTTTATTTTACATAAATTTATTTTCTAAAAAATGCTGTTAATAAAAATTTTTGAGGATCCAGGTCCCCATAGGGAACCCATCTCTACCCGGGATCAAGGATGGAGGATAACTTTTATCCCTAATGGGGATCGGGTTAGGAACAGAGAATATGACCCTGCCCCAAATCCATCCTATTGCCATTCCTAATCATAGTCGAATAATTGGTTCAGGTCTTAGTTGATTTGGAACAATTAAATCAGTTCTAACCTCAATTATTAATCGGGATGCAAACCACATAACCAGAATCAATGTAATTGGTTCAATCAGGTCTACGACCCAACCCATTGACAAGGAAATGGAATTAGATTAAAGAAAAAAAAACTGGAATGAGTCCTTCAATATCTATAATTAGTTTGGAAATATCTCCAAAGTTTAACTTGTACCGAAATAATATATACTAGTTGGGACCCGTATGATGTATAAGTTTGATTAAGAAAATTTGATGAACAAACTATATGACATTTCCAATTAAACAGCACTCATATAAGTTCAATTTAAGCATTATTTTTTTTTTGGGTGATGCCTATATAATTTATTGATCACAATTCAAGTTGTGCTTTTAGTGAAAGCGATTAATTTTCTATTCTCTAAATAAATTTGAATTAGAGCAAGGTCCCTTGGTGAATAAATCACTACATAGTAGATTGCAAGATATTGTTAGGTGTCTTCTCCCAAGTCAAGGTATCTTACATTTCTCGTATAAGTAACAGGGTTGCACACACTATTGCAAAGCAAGCTTATAATATCTCAAGATCTTGTACTTGGTCCTTGCCTCTTGATTTTGTCAGGACTATACTTATTCAAGACTCAATGCAAGGATCTAATTAAGTACAAGCTTTGCTCATAAAAAATGGAGAGGGGAGAAAATTAATGGGAGGGAGTTAATTGCATAATAATTAATGAAAAGAGATAATTAAAGGAGTTAACAGAATGAAGAGAGAGAGAGAAAGGGAGAGAGTTAATGGTGAATTAATGAGAAGAGATAAAATTAAAATTAAAACAAATTAAGGCCCCGTTTGGTTCATGGGAATAGGGGTCTGAATTTGGAATCAAAATGGGCTATTCCAATTCCAACTGTTTGGTTGAGCAGAATCGGAATCTCATTCCCATTCTAGCTGGAATGGCATTCCCCCATTTGAGGGAATGGCCATTCCTGTTTATTTCAATTCCTATTCCTATTCCTATTCCTATTCTTGTCTGAACCAAACAGACTACGGGAATAGACCATTTTGATTCCGATTCCAAAGAAATTCGATTCTGATTCCAACTCTAAACCAAACAGACCCTAAAAATGTCCTCTTGAGTTATTTTATTTAATTTTAAAATTAAAAAAAAATAGAAAACCATAAAATAAATAAATGTCTGAGACATTCCGTTTTAATACATAGAAGATATAGATTTATACTTAATAGGCCAAAGTGCACTCCTTCCTTTGTGGAAAATGGCAGAAAAAGTCCAAAGTGCACTCCCTTTGCTGCCATGCCCAAGACCCGGAATTGGTCGGTTTGGTCATCGGTTCGACCAACCGGTGGGCCTGATCAATCATCAGGGTCAAACATGGTCAACGGCTGGGATTATCCGACCTTTAATCTTTTATTTCAATAGTTTGTCCCTACGAGGGGAACAAACTAATTCAGCTTAGTTATTTTGTATTATCCAACAACCTTTTAACGTTGTCGTTGTTGTCATTATCCACTAGATATACGACACGTGTGCTTTAATTCATCGGTTAACCTAACATCACTATCCTTACAAATCAACGACTACGACTCGTTGAAAGTCTGTTATATATTTCATTATTTTGATTGTGTGCTTCGCACGTATGTATTTTTTTACGAGAATACTAGAAAATACGTCTACGTGACGGCTCCCAATGTGGGCCCATCAATGTTTTATAAAAACAGTAGGGCCCCACTTTGGGAATTGGGACACGAGGCCAGCGCTTTCAAGCCCTTTTTTCTCATTAAAAGCAAACGATCATAAGCCACACGTCCATGTTATCAAAGTCCATCATCCTCACCCGTCTCATTCACTAGTCACTACGTGGCAGGCGAGTGGGTCCCACAATAAACCACAGAATTTGGATAACTATGTAACGGTACTCAATTATATCACTGACACAACGGTCAACCCCGTCCCTTGTAGGACACGCGGTGTCCTTGCGAGTCATCTCCTCAGAGGAGAAACGATGACGTGTCCTCTGCCAAACCGGCTGTGTTGGCGTTTGTGGGGCACCCTCTGTGGGGCGCAGATGTGAATTCCGGGTTGACGATCTCTCTACCGGGTTGGTTACGGCCTCACAGTCAGCGGTCAGAGGCCCGAGCCGACAGCGTACAGACTTTGTTCGATGACACAGGTACCCACGTTTCTTTCCTCAATTGACACGTGGCAGATTTGAAGGCCCAGCCCAACTATTGCCCAACTGTGTTTTCAGGAAAAGAAGATAGAAAAAGGAAATAATAGTCTCATGGTATCGTTATCTCCACACGAGCCAGCTGGAGCTTATCCAGGCGTGTGACGAGGGCACTGTTCACAGCTGTAAAATCCGGCCACGTGGCTTTCCATGAAATTTCCGAAGCTTCAAATTTCCTAAACCCCCCTGCCAGTTTTCAAAAATACGAAATCTCCGGGAATCAGGATCTTTCCGTACCACGTGATCAAATTTCATTCTTGCTTCTTCTACCCACGTGATATTTTCCTCCATTTTTGGACCATTTCTGCCTATAGTATTCTTGTTAGAATAGTTACTATTTATTAAGGGTGTTTACGTCATTTAAAAAATTACCTTTTTTTCTTTTTTTTTTCTTTCGCACTGTGGAGAGATAAATACTAAATAGTCATCTGGACGGGGTGAGCCACGCCAACTCTACTAGTTCCTCCCTGAACACGTTCGAGAGAGCGAGCGAGAGAGAGAGAGAGAGGGAGAGAGAACTCGGTTACAGTTCATAGAAGAAAAGCGAGAACAGCATTGATGAAGTCGTCCGGCCGTTCAGACCGTTCAAACTAGCATCAGTAGAACTGTCTGCTCTTCCAATCTTCCCTTGTTACCAGGTCGGTGTTCCAGCTCTGGTTATCTATGTAGAAGAATAAACAGAGAAGCTTTATTGGTTTATCGTTTTCTCCATTCCTTTTGGTGCTTTTTCTCGGTGGCATGAAATTTATGCTTCGTCTCAGATTTTTTTTTTTAGCTGCGGAATTCGGTTGTTGAAGTTTACACTTTTTTCTTTAATTTTTTACGAAAGAAGATGTTGTCTAGATCTTGTGCGAATTTATTGAATTTGGTTTCGTCGGGAGCGGTAGGAGATTTGCCAAAAATCGGTCGAACTCGATTGCCGAGGGTGATGACCGTACCGGGAATAATATCTGACTTCGACGGCGACGAGGATGAAGGCCGGAGCGAATGCGGAGGTTCGGATGCCGTATCGTCTACTGTACAGGAAAGAAGGATTATCGTTGCGAACCAGCTGCCTTTGCAGGCGCAGCGCGACCCGGAGAGTAAGAAATGGTGTTTTGAATGGGATAAGGACGCGTTGGTTTTACAACTCAAAGATGGGTTCTCGCCGGATGTTGAGGTTGTTTACGTCGGGTGCTTGAAGGCCGAAATCGACCCGTCGGAGCAGGACGAGGTGGCGCAATTCCTTCTTGAGAAGTATAGGTGTGTGCCGACGTTTTTGCCGGTTGAAATTCAGAATAAGTTTTATCATGGTTTCTGTAAACAGCACTTGTGGCCGTTGTTTCATTACATGTTGCCCATATCGCCCAACCATGGCGCCCGTTTCGATAGGGCTCTGTGGCAGGCCTATGTATCTGCTAACAAGATTTTTGCAGATAAGGTGATGGAGGTAATAAATCCAGATGAAGATTATGTGTGGGTTCATGATTACCATCTCATGGTACTGCCAACGTTCCTGAGAAAACGGTTTAATAGGGTGAAGCTTGGGTTTTTCCTGCACAGCCCTTTTCCGTCATCGGAGATATACAGGACACTTCCGGTGCGAGAGGAGATTCTCCGGGCTCTGTTGAATTCGGATCTTATTGGTTTCCAGACATTCGATTATGCGAGACACTTCTTGTCTTGCTGTAGTCGGATGTTGGGCCTAGATTATGAGTCAAAGAGGGGTTACATTGGACTTGAATATTATGGCCGGACTGTGAGCATTAAGATCCTCCCGGTTGGAATTCATATGGGTCAGCTTGAAACTGTTCTATCCCTTTCAGAAACTGCTAAGAAGGTCCAGAAATTGAAAGAACAATTTGAGGGAAAAACTGTGATAATTGGCGTGGATGATATGGATATGTTTAAGGGTATCAGCCTGAAGTTCTTAGCAATGGGGCAACTCCTAGAACAGCACCCTCAATTGAGAGGGAGGGTGGTTCTGGTTCAGATTGCAAACCCTGCAAGGAGCCGAGGTAAGGATGTCCAAGAGGTTCAGGCTGAAACTCATCTTATTGCGAATTTGATCAATGAGAAGTATGGTAAAGAAGGATATGAACCAATTGTGTTTATCAATGGCCCTGTTTCAACCCTGGAGAAGGCTGCATTCTATGCCATCTCTGAGTGCTGTGTGGTGAATGCTGTGAGGGATGGAATGAACTTAGTCCCCTACAAGTACACAGTTTGCAGGCAGGGGAGCCCTCTTCTAGGCAAGGTCCTTGGCATTGATGGGTCCAACACCTCAAGAAAGAGTATAATTGTTGTGTCCGAGTTCATTGGGTGCTCCCCATCTCTTAGTGGGGCCATCCGAGTTAACCCTTGGAACATAGATGCTGTGTCTGATGCCATGAACTTGGCCATCACCATGCCTGAGCCAGAGAAACAATTGCGCCATGAGAAGCACTACAAGTATGTTAGTTCTCATGATGTTGCCTACTGGGTTCGAAGTTTTGACCAAGACTTAGAGAGAGCTTGCAGAGAGCATTTCCTGAGAAGGTGCTGGGGCATTGGTTTTGGTTTGAGTTTCAGGGTTGTTGCATTGGGTCCTAATTTCAGGAAGCTTTCAGTAGAACATATTGTGTCTGCATATAAAAGGACAAATAGTCGATTGATCCTATTGGATTATGATGGTACCGTGATGCCACAGGCATCTGTGGACAAAACTCCTAGCAATGAAGTAATTTCCGTATTGAATAGTTTAAGCAGTGATCCAAAGAATGTTGTTTTTATTGTGAGTGGCAGAGGGAAGGATTCTCTAAGCAAATGGTTTTCTCCTTGTGAGAAGTTGGGTATTTCAGCGGAACACGGCTATTTTACAAGGTATTGTTAATTTTCTTTGCTTGTAAGAATGATAGATATCATCTTTTTCATTGTCTTCATTCTTTAGTTTTTAGATGCGTCTCCTGAACATGTTCTGTTTGTTTGATGCAGATGGAGCAGAGATTCTCCATGGGAGTCCTGTTTGTTGCCAACAGATTTCAATTGGAAAAACATTGCTGAACCTGTAATGGAACTTTACACAGAGACAACAGATGGATCTTCAATTGAGCACAAGGAGAGTGCCCTGGTCTGGCACCATCAAGAAGCCGATCCAGATTTTGGGTCATGTCAGGCAAAGGAGCTCCTTGACCACCTGGAGAATGTACTTGCTAATGAGCCTGTGGTTGTTAAAAGAGGACAACACATAGTTGAAGTAAAACCACAGGTAATGAGATGTAGCTTACCTTTTCTTTTAACCCTTTGTTTGGCCAACCCATCAGCCAAGCTCTTTGCTTACCTTTGTACCCATTTTATTTGTAATTGCATGTCTTTTGAATACCATCTGGACCATCTGAATTTGTTCTTAAATCTCCAAAGAACTCTCTTATCATCCATTAGCAACTAATAATCACCTTCAATGGTTAATCTTTCAACCCCCATTTCTTTGGTTTTTCGTACCCCAAGTATGTCTGCCAAAATTTCTGCCCTTCCTAAGTCTCCTTTACCTATTGGACCCGAGTACAGTGCACAGATGGTTCCCTTCCCATCCCTAACTACTCCCTCAATACCTGAAGGCCCTGGATTGCCCATGAGCCATGCTACTTCCATGAAAATCCAACTTCAGCCACCCACTTACTGGTGGTTTACTGACTTGTGATGGATTATCATGTTTGTAAATTGCAGGGGATAAACAAGGGCATGGTTGTTGAAAACCTTATCTCAACCATGTCAAGCAGGGGGAAGCCACCTGACTTCATATTGTGCATAGGAGATGACCGATCAGATGAAGACATGTTTGAGAGCATTGCAAGATCCATTTCCAATCCATCCTTGCTATCCAGAGCTGAAGTGTTCGCCTGCACAGTTGGTCAAAAGCCTAGTATGGCAAAGTACTATCTAGATGATACTGTTGAGGTCATCAAGTTGCTTCAAGGAATTGCTACTGCATCAGTCCTGCAACCAAAATCAGCATATCTTCAGGTCTCCTTTGAAGGATCTCTATGAAAAGCTTAAAATATATCCTGGTGATGATTTATTTTTGATTGGTACTGAAGATGATTCAAACATCCATTAGCCTGAATTGGCATCATCTAGTGCAAGCCATGGGTTTTATGTATGGAAACAGTTTTCTGGTTTTGCACCCTCTTCTGAGATTGAAAGGAAGGAGTTTGATCACAATCAAGTGCTAAGAATTAGTTTTTGTACAGGATAATAGACATGCAAAGATGATTTCAAACATATTAATTCTTAGCACTTGTGAGCTTCGCGTCTGAGTTCTAGCATTCCTTGTGAAGCATGCACCTCAGATTCTAAAGCCCAAGGGAGATCTTATCTGATATTATATATTGGGTGAAAATGTCTGTAGTTGAAGTTGTCTTAATGCCATTAATCTCAGTTAGGAAAAATGAAACACTTGAAGGTCAGATTGCCTGATAATGCTTGACAAACTAGCACAGAGATTTCCCAATCTACGTTCATTGTCACATGTACATACAAGTAGTTATTTACCTTCTTATTTCCCTTGAACATCTGTAGAAAACCTTCTAAGTTGATCAAAATTTACCAGATTTCTTCTGTCAGTTAAATATAGGTTTTTATGTGCAGCGTGCAAGTTATGTTTCCTTTAAGTGTGGAATAATTGGTAGCAATTAAATGTCTCCTATTCTAATTTGGTTTTGACTGGTATAAGTTGGGCATCAATGTCCTTTTAACTTGTGTTCTTTTATCAACTAACACAGTTTTGCTTTGTTATGGAAATACAAGTGGTTATGGTTAGATTATAGAAAGAAAGGATGTATGGAAATACATGTTCAACCTGAAAATTCCAGCAACCTTGACACCTTGGTTTGGTGTTTGGAACTCAAGCTTTTGACAGCATGTTCTTGATGCAGGATTTAACGCATTCAGTTGCAAGCAGAGTTTCATAAGTGGAAACTGGAGAAGTTTCACTGTTATTCTCATGGAATAGATGAGCTTTATGTTTTGCAGAGTCTCACAGGCTGATATGCAAGGACAATGAACAGTTCAATGAAGAGTAGTGATGACGACAGTATATCAAGGTAAATCACAGTTCTATGAAGAGCACAAATGATGGCAGTAAGCACAGATATTGGTTATATTTGACTACCTTCCACATATTCTTAGCAGCCTACGGTGGACCACCCTCTGAAGAAGCTTGTGGGAAAGTATCAAAGCTGACCACCAGGAATAACTTTGTGATTCACATGCTAATTCTCTAAACAAAAGAGGAAATAATCCATTCCTAGCAACAGCATAGCCTAATAGATCCCCTATACTCCATTGCCTTCCTGTGTTGGCTGTACCCAACCAAAAAAGCAAATGGAATGGAAACAAGAACCAACAAAATAATCCAAATTCCAAAAGAAGGTTAAGAATAGAAATTAAAAAAAAAAAAAAAAAGCTATCCAAAATTAAAAGTATTTAAAGAGAGATGTCACAATGAAGCACTAGGAACAATCAATCAGAAACTCTAAGAATAGTACTCAAACCTTTAATTTTATGAAACTCCATATACTCGTTGATAGCTTTCAATAGTCAATTTCTTTCTTCATGTCAGGGTAATCATTTTTCAATTTAACTCTGAAAATTTGTTTGTTTTGACTAAGTTCTGGGAACAATGGATCTTGTTCAAGGCCTCTGGTGGGAAGAATATTTTGCTAGGGATGTCATTTACAAGGATTTGATTGACACCATGGTGATGCATTACATAATCCAACCAATAAATTTTCTATCGAAACCCATATGTACCATAACCTTTTCCAAAAAGCCCATTCCATTTTATCATAGGCTTAACTCAAGTTTTACGGCCATCAAACCTTTCCCTTCCTCTCCCTACCTTTTCTTTGAAACCAAAACAGCCTTACATTAGCTTTATCTTTTTGTGGAGAATATCATAAGTAATTAAGATATTGCCAGATATCATTCTGCCTAGAATAAAAGCATTTTGATTTTGAATGATGATAGGTTAAAAAGACAGTTTTATCCAACATACCAAAATCATAGTGATAATTTGTTGCAAAATATTACAAATTCTATAGGCCATAACTATGAAACTTCCTCAAGACACCTTACCTTTGGAATTGGAGCTATAAAGGTTGTGTTCTGTGCACAAGTAACCTATGGAAAAAGGAACATTTTATGGCCTTTCCTGTATCATCACCTACAAGCCTTCTAGTATCTTTCAGAAAAAAGAGTTGTGGAATCCATCAAGCCCTGACACCTTCCTAGGAGCCATTTCGATCAATGCTTAGTTAATTTCTTTATTTGCAATATATATCTCCATCTCTTCCTTGGTCTAACCTCCAATGACACATTTGACTCTTTGGCAAACCCTTTCTATACCCATAGGCCTTGAGGACTTTGTATATATTTTGAAAACGATTGACCACTACTTCATCCATAATCCTTTGGTGCTCTTAGATCCATTCTTCTTGTCATTTTTTATTTTTAAAATTTGATTCTAAACCCTTTTCTTAATGGCCATATGGAATATTCTTGTATTTCCATTGCTGATGATAAGCCAAGATCCTCGAGTTTTGCACCTAGATCAATTTTCTCTCATCTCTACCTCCATTTTTTTGATCAACAACTCTACCTCCAATTTTTTCTTTTAGGCTATGTTTGGTTTTAAGGAAAAGGTAGGGCAAAGGAAGGGAAAGGTAGGGAAACCTATACAAGGTTTGTAAAGGTTTCCCTACCATTCCCTACTTTTTCTTTTGAACCAAACACAGCCTTAATGTTTCAAAATTACTTGGATTTCATCTTTCTTTTAGTTTATCTTTTTCTTCTGCTAATTGCTCTTTAATTTGCTTAATTTCATTTAGACTCCCCCAAATACCTTTTAAGTTCTACTTTCTTGGAACACCTCTAAGATGATTGCGTTTTTGTTTGACCACATGCTACCTTGATCCTACAATATACTTGTCTCAGGTAGTCTGCACAAATATTCCTTCACAATCTTCATAGGTTGTCCAAACATTTTGAAAGGCGTTTTGTTTCCCATTTTAATATTGAGTTGGTTTCTAGAACTATTAGTAGTGATAAATGGTCCTAGCCTCCTGAAATTAAACTTATCATCCTTGCCTCTTCAAAAAGCATTCTACATTCCTTATTATATGAAACCATCTTACTTCTTTCTCTTGTATTATCCTTCTGCATCTCTTTTTTAACAAAGTATATCTAGGACCATGGCGTACAATTTCTAGATCATGTTGATTTATCAACTCCTCGAGTCTCAATAGCTCATTGCTACAAGGTCTATTTCCTTGTCTTCTAACCTTAAGACCATGCTTAAATCTCATACATACACTCATGGAGAACTTATTCTCTTATAAAGATTATTCCAATCTTCCAAGAAGGCCTCACTCTTCCTTTATTATGTTTTAATTTCCATAAATGAAGGTACAAAGCTATTGTTTCCTCTTTCACCCCAGATGTTGGTATATTCATGCTAGTTCCCAAAAAAAGTACAAGTCCATTAGCTAGTCTAATTGCATCCACACCCCAACAGTCCCAAATGTTGATCTGTTTGAATATTTTCTACACTCAATTAGAGTGCATTAAGTCTCTACAAGGAAGATTAATACTTTGGACCACTTTCAAAAGAAAACTTTTTTTGTGTTCATCTCCAAACTGGTGTACTCTCTAAGCCTAGAATGAGGATTACTACCACTTGCTAATATCTCGTTCCTTTTCTATAGCCATACAGAATTGGACTTTTTTTCTTTGTTTAATTAGGTGTAGGTGGAACCTTCCAATAAAAGTAACTATGTTGTTTAATCTGTATACCTTTGTGGACTATTTGAGAAGAAAGGAATGCCAAAATATTCTAGCAAGAAAATGAAAGAAGCCTCTCAAAAGTAAAGAAGTGTATCTTGACAAGGGCAATTCATTGGCTGCAAACCTTAAATTCTTTTAACATTTTTTGTCCTTTAATGACCTGTGGAGGAGTTTGTTAGTAGTGGCTAATATTTCTTCCAAGAAAAAACAGTATTAGAGTAGGCCAAACACCTCCTACAAGACGGTTGAGTATGTTTCATAGGTAGCCTTACCCAAGGGGGTGAATTGGATTCTATAAGGTTTCCTCCCCAACTAATGTCTTTTTAAACTTAAATGCTATATAATGGATGATAGAGAACAAAGAAAGTGAAAACAGTACGATAATAATATAACAATGTATAAAATGAGTTTTAATCAACAAGTGTAGAAACTAAAAGAAAAGACAAGATTTATAGAGATTCAGCCAAACCAAGCCTATGTTCTCTCCCCATGCACACCACTTGAGAATTCCACTAAAACCAACTAGGATTTTTGGGTGCCAATTATTAATCCTGTGTGTTTTGATGATAACAAAATTAACTCATTGAGACTACTAATGATTTGAACTTAAGTGTACAACTGTGCCAAGAGATTTCCATTAGTAGAGATAAAATGTTTATAAACTCTTGTGAAGAATTCAAATGTCTTGAACTGCAAAGTGGGTAGCTATTTGATGAACAATTTACTCTCTGGGGAAGAAGAAAGCTACAAAGAGGAAGAAGAAGAAGAAGCAGAAAGCATCAAGTTCTAGAGCTTATTGTTATCATCTTTATATCCTTTAGAACTTGATATAATCATTTGCAAGCATGCATAAAATAGGCTTAATTGACTAACCTCGGTTTAACTAAAACCTTAGAGACTAGTTGTTAAATAGCTAGGCCTTTCCTTAGATTTTATACTAAGCTTAAGTATGAAACGTCTAAGTGTAAAGGTCTAAGGAGTTGACTCCTAGATGATTAGAGTCACCTACTTGAAGTTTCTAAGGTTGCTCATATCCTATAGTTGATTCCCATAAGGTAGTAGTTGACTACCAGTGATAGTTGAGAATGGTGTCATTGAGTACTCTACTAATGGAGTAGTAGCTGACTACCTATGACAATCGAACCTAGTGCAACATTGGCTTTATCCAATAGTTGGCTAATGGATTAGGGGTTATCAACTATGCGTTATGATCAAGAATACTGTTCATCAAGTAGTCAACTACCACAGAGAGAGATTGTCTTGCGAGTAGTAGTCGACTACTTATTCCTAACAAGGTTGAAACAATCAATTATTAGCTTGAACAAGTAACTACTTCAAAAAAGGAAAGAAGTTTTTTGGTCATTTGAAGGATCAACGACTCTTTCCTCTTTTGATAAGCCTTTAATCTTGTCAAGAACAAGCTCTAAACTTTTCTAAAAATAAATTTATCTCTTCCCAACAGATTTATAATAGTTATATGCTCTTTAAGTATGATTTATTTTATAAATACACAAGTTTGAGATGAAAATATCAAGGAACTTATTTGAGTTATATTATGAAAAGAAAAAAGAGAGCTTTATCAAGAGAGCAACATTGTTTGAAGAGATTATGGGCTTAAAAGAGTCTTTACCCTTGGAGAAAAATGCTCTAAAATGCTATTTGTGCTTCATTGATTGAAGAGATTATGGGCTTAAAAGAGTCTTTACCCTTTGAGTTCTTTAAGCCTATATTTGTTTATGCTCTTTCTTGCATTCAAATAGTGTGTTAGAGGCATTACCTTTGTGCT